CCCAGCCTCTTATGAGGATTTGATGATGTAAAACATGCAGATTGCTTAGAACAGGGCCCAACACTCAGTACATATTTGCTGTTATTAAGGTAGGGAGACCTAACCCGCAGAGCCAGGCCATTAGGACATGTTCCTGGGATCCCAGGGAAATTAAGAGTCATGAGATCTCTTTCTGTGGCTTCCAATTGTGAGTCTTGCAGGCCGCTCGGTCGCTTGCTGTCTCATTTGCTCACGCAGTGACGTGCGGAGCCCTGCTCTGGGCCCAACCTGAATTAACCTCCCCACTCTGCTACTCTGCCCTCCCCAGGGAACATTCGCCTCCCAGGTGACGCTGGAGGGGGACAAGGTGAAAGTGGAGCGGGAAGTTGATGGCGGCATGGAGACCGTGCGCCTGAAGCTGCCTGCTGTGGTGACCGCAGATCTGAGGCTCAATGAGCCCCGCTACGCCACGTTGCCCAACATCATGGTGAGCCCCTGGCAGAGGGTCACTGAGGGCTGGGCTGGGTGAGCACGTCGCGGACTCTGTGCCTCATCCCTGCTGGTCAGCTAGGAGGAGGGAAGAATCCAAGGGATGTCTCATGCAAAGGAAGGGTTTGCCTGGTCGTTTTGGCTGGCAGGGAGAGTTCGCTGGGTCATCTCTGCCAATAGTGAGAGTCCACAGGGGCTGTTTAGCTAACAGGGAGGGCTTGCTGGTTGTCTCAGCCAATAGAAAGGCTTCCCTGGGCAACAGAAAGGGTTCCCCTTGTCATTCCAGCCAGTGGGAAAAGTTCATTGGGTAACCTTGGCCAAATAAAGAGGATTTATTTAGTTATCTTGAATCACTAGGGAGGGTTCCTGGTTAATCTACACATTAACAGAAAGTTGTGTAGACCATCTCGGCTAACTAGGAAGGGTTTGTGGGATCTCTTGGCTAACAGGGAGAGTTCACTGATCATTATGGCCAGTAGGTGGGTTCACAGGGTCATCTTGGTCAATATGGAGAGTTCAGTGCGTCATCTCAGCCAACAGGGTGGGTTCATTGGGTCTTCTCAGCCAATAGGAAGAATTCAGTAGGTCATTTCAGCCAATTTGGGGGGTTCAGTGTTTCATCTAAGCCTATAGAGAGTTTATTGGGTCTTCTCAGCCATCAGGAGGGTTCAGTGGGTTATCTCAGCCAATGGGAGGAAGGTTCAATAGGTCATCTCAACTAATAAGGAGGGTTCATTGGGTCATCCCAGCCAAAAGTCCATTGAGTCATTACTGTCCAAAGGATGGATTTGCCAGTCCACTGCAGCCAATAAAGGGCTCCCTAAGGTGATCAAATAAAGGAGACTGCTGCAGTAGTTGGGTCTCCCTGGGCATCCTAGCCACAGGAATTGTTCACACCAGGTGTGGCCTAGGAGAGGTCTCGTGTGTCCTGGCCGGTGGAAAGGTCCAGAAGGGCTCAGCCAATAGAAGTGGCTCTGCAGCAAAGGGACCCATGGGAAGGAGGCTGGGGGAGGATGGACAGGGGCTTCTGCAGCCCTGTGAACCGTGGCTTCCCATGTACAGAAAGCCAAGAAGAAGAAGATTGAAGTGGTCAAGGCTGGGGACCTAGGTGTGGACCTGACCTCCAAGCTCTCCGTGGTCAGTGTGGAGGACCCGCCCCAGCGCACAGCCGGTGTCAAGGTGGAGACCACCGAGGACCTGGTGGCCAAGCTGAGGGAGATCGGGCGGATCTGAGTCCCTCCCTAAAACTCTGCAATAAAACTGACTCAACATCTGTCTCTGTTAACTCATTCCCTGGAGACCCGTTCTTTGATTCACTCAACAGACATTTACTTAAGTGTTGCGTGTGCCAGGCCCTGTGGGTGATGCCAGGGACTCAGGTGAGTCACATCCAGTCCCTGCCCTTAAGAAGCCGCTGTATTGAAGGGGGACATGGACGTGGGCAAAGGCGGCTGCGGCGCAGGGTGTCATGCACCAGATGTGGAGATGTGCTGGGCTTTGGGGACCCAGGTGAGGCACCTGGCCCTGCCCCGTGGGGCCGGAGACGTCCCAGCAAGATGACATCCAAGTTGAGTGTTGAAAAATAAATATCATCCGCGGGCACGGTGGCTCATGCCTGTAATCCTAGCACTCTGGGAGGCTGAGGTGGGTGGATTGCTCAAGGTCAGGAGTTCGAGACTAGCCTGAGCAAGAGCGAGACCCCGTCTCTACTGAAAAAAACAGAAAGAAATGAATTGGCCAACTAAAAATAAATAGAAAAAATTAGCCGGGCATGGTGGCATATGCCTGTAGTTCCAGCTACTCAGGAGGCTGAGGCAGGAGGATCACTTGAGCCAAGGAGTTTGAGGTTGCTGTGAGCTAGGCTGATGCCACGGCACTTTAGCCTGGGCAACAGAGTGAGACTCTGTCTCAAAAGAAAAAAGAAAGGCAAATATCAATGAGGCGAGTGAGAAGTGCTTCTATCTGCGGAGTGTGCGCAGAGCCCTCCCGGGTGCCAGGCCCCTGTGGCGACTTGGGACACAGAGGGAATGAGGCCGGAAACTCTGGCTCTGGTCGGAGAGACGGACGAGCAGCAGACAATCAAACCTAGTGCAGGGACAGAGCCTGGGCCTGAGTCAGGCTTATTCATCTCCAGCCCTCACTCTCAACTTCACCAGCTCCGAGATCTTGGGTGAGTTACTTCCCTCTGAGCTTTCATCTTCCTCATCTGGCAGATCAAATAGTAATAGCACAGCACAGTGGACAGGGCATGGGTTCTGGATCCCAAGGTCCTGGGTTCAAACCCCGGCTTGACCAGTTCCTGGCTCTGGGGGGAATGAGCCTAGGTTTCATTCAGATAGAATTAGCAATGACACCTGTATTCTGGTTGTCTGTTCTGGCGTAACAAACCACCCCAAAACTTGTTGGTTTAAAACAACAATTGTTCATTTTGCTCATAAGTCTGAAATTTGGACAGGGCTCAGCACGGGCAACTGTCTCTCTTCCATGCAGCATCAATGGGGTAGCTCAAGTGGGGCCAGAGGATTGACTTCCAAGAGGGCTCACATGGCTGGTAAACTGGCTGGGGCTGGGGCCTCAGCCAGGGCTGTTGACCAGGGCCATGATTCTCTGTGGGGCTACTGGGGTCTCCTCACAGCATGGCGGCTGGGTTCCTTGATGGAGTGCTCTGCAATACAGAAGGGTGCGCCAGCCGAGGTGCAGAGAGTGGCACATCCAGTGGAGTACTCACAGATCCTGGGGTGTGGGTTGGGGGACATAGACCCCACTTATTAACAGTAGGAGTGTTGAATTTGCAACCATCTTTATTTTATTTATTTATTTTTTTGAGACAGAGTCTCACTCTGTTGCCCAGGCTAGAGTGAGTGCCGTGGCGTCAGCCTAGCTCACAGCAACCTCAAACTCCTGGGCTCAGGCAATCCTACTGCCTCAGCCTCCCGAGTAGCTGGGACTACAGGCATGCGCCACCATGCCCGGCTAATTTTTTCTATGTATTTTTAGTTGGCCAATTAATTTATTTCTATTTGTAGTAGAGACAGGGTCTCACTCTTGCTTAGGCTGGTTTCGAACTCCTGACCTTGAGCAATACTCAGGCCTTGGCCTCCCAGAGTGCTAGGACTATAGGCATGAGCCACTGTGCCCAGGCTGCAACCATCTTTAAGCTATAAAAACTACCCCAGGGAGTTTTGAAAGGTTAATTTATACAGCACCCTGGGAACCATACCTGATATGAAAAAAATACTCAATATATATTATTACCTTTATTATATTACCAGCATGGTGAGGACTGTGCTGGGGTAAGCTCCCAGGACTGGGGGCTGAGCAGAGGCCCTAAGCCCAGCGTGGGGGCTATCGGAAGGAGTGAGCAGTCCGACCACCTGGGCCCAAGTCCAGCTTCCCCTCTGGCTGTGCAACTTCCTGTGGGCCCCTTGGCCTCTGTGAGCCACAGTTCCCTGGTCCGTACAGTGAGGGTAATGACACTTGGCTCATGGAGCATTCAGCCCAACAATCCATGGGGAGCATTTAGCATGGTTCCTGGCTCAACATGAGTGGTAATTATTATGGTTCTTAATAAGACCTGAAGGACAAGTTGTGGTTTAGCCTTGTTGGAGAGGGTGGAGAGTGAGTGAGAGCATTCCAGATAGAGGACGGGGAGGTGAGAGGTGGAGCCGGCAGGATAAGAAGGGCTGGATGCTCAGAAAGGTAGTGCTGGGTGCGGAAGCAGTGGGCAGGCTCGCTGCGCAGCTTGGATGGCTCCAGAGGGCGCTGGGGGCCTGGGAGCGGGCTGGGCGCTGAGGAGGGGGCTGAGGCAGCTCTGGGTGCAGAGGGCAGGAGGGGTAGGATTCAGATCGACGCCAGTGAGGGGTGGGGGAGGGGGAAGGCGCCCAAGCACTGCATGGATGGTGGAGCCATCCATGTGAGAACCGGGGAGGAGGGCTGGCTTAGGGGAAAGATTCTGAATTAAGTGGGACACAATGTGTGAAGGCCTAGGGGATGCAGAAATGCAACTGTGGGTCTCCGGAGATGATGACTGGGCAGGAGATAGCAACCAATAGAGACTTGGTTCTGAGGGCAGTAGAGAGCCATGGCAGGTTTTGGAGCAGAGGAGAAGCAGGGTCAGACACGGGGTTCCGAGGCTGCCAGCAAGACAGAACAGAGGCCAGGAGATGGGGAGGAAGAGGCCTGAGTCTCAGAGGCAGGGGGCTCTGAAAGGTCACCTCATCTTCCTCCAGGAAGTCTTCCTGGCTTCATGCCACCACATCTTAGCTGGGACTCAGTTCTCCCATCTTCCCCCTGGGGGTGGGGAGTGCAGGGGTCAGGCTGGCCTGCCCATCAGGGCCAGCTGATGAAGGGAGTGGGGTGGGGTGGGTGGCTCAGCCACCAGATGGGGTGGGGGATCCTGGCGCCTCCCGCTGTGTCTGGCTCCCTCCCCACCCAGGAAGCTAAGCTGCCAGTCCTGTCGGACTCGTCCTACCCGGGAGGGATGGGCGCAGGCCCTGGGTCTCGCTCCAGTGTCCTCCCAGCAGTCCAGCACCATGGACACTTGGCGGGTTCTGCCACTCTTCCTCCTCCTGGGTAAGTTCCCTGCTCAGCCCCCTCCCCACAGTCCCCCTTCTTAGCTGCCCCCCGACGCCTCCTCCTCTCCTCCACAGCCTCCCGAGCAGGGGTCTCCGCCCTCAGAGGCTCCTCTGGACCTCGGCACACCAATTTCTCCTCCACCTTCTCTTCAGCCTCAGAAAGCTCTTCCCAGGGGCTGGGTTCGGAAGGTCCCTCCATCGAACCTCCCAACCCGGAGTTTCTGGATCAGTCTTCCAGTTCAAAAGCCTCTGCTGGAATCTCTGATTCCGACTGGTTTCCCGAGGCCCTGGATTCCAGCAATGCGTCTGGGGCCTTCTGGTCAAACGTTTATGCTGAGGGTCAAGATTTGAGCCCGGATGCCATTCCTGGCTCCGAAGCACTTCCTGACACTTCGGACCCTCGAGCTCCTGCCAAAGGCCCCAAGCCGCCTTTCCCTGCTAAGACCCCGGCTTCAAACGCCTCTGCTGCGGCTTCCGGCACCAAAGTGCCTGTTGAGGCCCCGGGTTCGAAAGACCTCGCACTCCTTGACCACAGAGTCCCCGCAGAGACCCACCCAGCGGAGAGCTTCCCCCGGCAGGTGGGGGGGCCTCTTGCAGTGCTGGTGGGGACCCCCATCTGGCTCCCGCTGGTCCCAGCCCCCAGCCCTGGCCCGCCTGCCCCTCTGGTGGTCTGGCGCCGGGGCTCCAAGGTGCTGGCAGCCGGGGGCCTGGGGCCAGGGGCTCCTCTGATCAGCCTGGACCCGGCTCACCGGGACCGCCTGCGATTTGACCAGGCCGGCGGGGGGCTGGAGCTTGCCTCTGCCCGGCTGGATGATGCGGGGGTCTACACGGCTGAGGTCATCAGGGCAGGGGTCTCCCAGCAGACTCGGGAGTTCACGGTGGGCGTGTATGGTAAGTGTGCCCTGGGGACCCGAGTGCGCGTGCAGAGGCCGCTCTGCTCCAGGAGACGTTGGGCAAGTCGCCACCGCTCTGAGGATGTCCCCTCCCCAGAGGAAGGTCCCTGGATGGGGGGAGCGGACTTCGGAGGACGGGAGGAGAAGAGGGGCTGAGGCCAAGACAGGGGTGCTTGAGCAGATCCGGACCTCGGACAAGGACTCCCGGGGGCCTGGACTCGGGGGTCTGAGGAAGGAGGGGACTGGAGCCCCCTCGAACTCCTGGGTCCTGGAGAGGAGCGGGCTGGGGCCCCGACTCCTGGGGCTCAGAGGAGGCAGCGGCTGGACCTGGGTCCCGGGTGTAGGGAGGAGGGGACGAGGGCATGGGCTCCCACACTGGGTCCTGAGTCGGCTCCTCTTCTCCCAGAGCCCCTGCCCCAGCTGTCGGTGCAGCCCGCGGCCCCGGAGACAGAGGAGGGGGCGGCCGAGCTGCGGCTGCGCTGCGTGGGGTGGGAGCCGAGTCGCGGGGTGCTGAGCTGGAGCCAGGACGGACGCGCCCTGGAGGCGGCGGCCCCCCACGGAGCTGAGCCTCGGATCCGCGCAGAGGGCGACCAGCTGCTCATCTCGCGGCCCGTGCGCGCCGACCACGCGCGGTACACTTGCCGCGTCCGCAGCCCCTTCGGCCGCGCGGAGGCTGCGGCGGACGTCAGCGTGTTCTGTGAGCGGGGGCGCCGCGGGTCGCGGGAGGGGTCTTGAGGCCCGGGGAGAAGTGGGCGGGGGCCGGCCTCCGGGAGACTGGGCGAGTCCCCCGTGACCCCTCCCGCCCCCAGATGGCCCGGACCCGCCGGTCATCACGGCCTCCTCGGACCGCGACGCCACCCCTGCGCTCTATGTCACCGCGGGCAGCAACGTGACCTTGCGCTGCACAGCCGCCTCGCGGCCGCCCGCCGACATCGCGTGGAGCCTGGCGGACCCGGCTGAGGCCGCGGTGCCCGCGGGGCCGCGGCTGCTGCTGCCCGCGGTCGGGCCGGGCCACGCGGGCGCCTACGCCTGCCTCGCCGCGAACCCGCGCACCGGCCGCCGCCGCCGCTCTCTGCTCAACCTCACCGTGGCCGGTGAGAGCCGCCGGGGCGGACCGAGGGGAGGCCTGGAGGGGGCGGGGCCAGCCGGAGCGGCGGGACCCGGGCCGGAACGCCATGGCCAGGGCGGCCAGGAGAGAGCGCTGGGCCGGCGCGGAGGGAGCGCGCGTCGCGGGGCGGGAGGCGTCCTGAACAAGGGCGGCGCAGGTGAACTGTAAGGCGGGGGTTAGGAAGGGAAGGGACCGAGCGCCCGGCCGGCAGGTGGGAGCGGCAGACGGGAAGTTGCCTGGAGCAGGGGGAGTCACTGAGAACGGGGCGGGGGCCGCTAGGAAGGGGACAGAGTCATCTGAGAAAGGCAGCCTGGGCGGGAGAGAGACCCGGGCGAGTCCCCAGTGACCCCCTCCCGACCCTTCCAGGCCTCCCCTCGGTCCGCCCCGGCGGCTCTGACCGCGGGCGGCGGGGTCCGAAAGGCAGGGCGGAGATGGCGGGAAAGGGGAGGCTCTCGGGGAGGAGCCCGGGGGCGGGGTCACCCCGCGGAAGGGCTGGGGCCCGCAAGGGCGCGCCGGCCGGGTCTGGAAACGCGCGAGGCGGCGCGCGCAGGTGCGGTCTCTAGCACAGCAGGACGGGCGGCGGGGCCGCGGGCTGCCCACGAGGCGGGACAGCTGCTGGTCCGACCCTTGGTCTCTCCCTTGCCTCCGCAGATCTGCCCCCGGGGGCCCCGCAGTGCTCCGTGGAAGGGGGGCCCGGGGACCGCAGCCTCCACTTCCGCTGCGCGTGGCCCGGCGGGGTCCCCGCCGCCTCCCTACAGTTCCAGGGTCTCCCCGAAGGCGTCCGCGCGGGGCCCGTGCCCTCCGCGCTCCTGGCCGCCGTCCCCGCCCACCCCCGCCTCAGCGGCGTCCCCGTCACCTGCCTTGCTCGCCACCTGGTGGCCACGCGCACCTGCACCGTCACCCCAGGTGAGAGGCGGCGGAGCTTCTGCGCCCTGTCCTGAGGAGGAGCGGAACTTTTTCTTTGGTCCTTTGGGACTTCTGAAGCAGGAAGGGTACTTCCTTATTCCAGAAAAGGGGCGCAGCTTCACTGTCTTTGAACCTAGAGAAGGAATAAGGTTTTTCTGATACCTCAGGGTGGGGGCGGGGCGGGGACGTGCGTTTTTTTCTGGACCCAGGAAGAGGGCTGCCACTTCCTCACGTGCTCAGATCAGTCAGACTTTATTCTTTTTTAAGAGTAATGCATAGCTGAGAATAATGTGAGTTTCTCTGCACAGGGCCAGGCCTATAGGGTATGAATTCAGTAAGTGTTTGTAGAAATCAGATGGTAAATGCACGAGTGCGTGCGTGCGCGCGCAGTTCCTCCTCCTGTGGCCAAAGAGCCAGGCTTCGCCACTGTTTGATGTAACAAAGGGCGCAGGGCTTGTTCTTGGAATCCAGGCGAGGTCCTGACTCCTGACTGGGCTTCTCCCCTGCAGACGCCCCTCGGGAGGTGCTGCTACATCCGCTGGTGGAGCATGCAGAGTCGGGGCAGGCAGAGGTGGCGCTGGAGGTCTCTGGTTGTCCCCCACCCTCACGAGCGTCCTGGGCCCGGGAAGGGCGGCCGCTGGCTCCAGCGGGTGGGAGTCGCCTGCGGCTCGGCCAAGACGGGCGGAAGCTCCTCTTCGGCAACTTCAGCCTGGATTGGGACCTGGGAAACTACTCGGTGCTGTGCAGTGGGGCGCTGGGTGCTGCGGGGGACCAGATCACCCTCCGTGGTGAGCCATGTCCTCTTGAAGAACTCAGAGTGCCGACCCCCAGCCCTCCTCCCTCAGACCCAGGGTCCAGCCCCAGCCCTCCTCCCTCAGACCCAGGGGTCCGGCCCCAGCCCTCCTCCCTCAGACCCAAGGGTCTGGCCCCAGCCCTCCTCCCTCAGACCCAGGGTCCAGCCCCAGCCCTCCTCCCTCAGACCCAGGGGTCCAGCCCAGCCCTCCTCCCTCAGACCCAGGGTCCAGCCCCAGCCCTCCTCCCTCAGACCCAGGGGTCCGGCCCCAGCCCTCCTCCCTCAGACCCAGGGGTCTGGCCCCTAGACCCCTCTTCACTAAGACACGGAGTCCCGGCCCCCAGCCCACTTCCCTCTCCTCTCGGACCCAAGAATCCAGCTGCCTCCTGCCCTTCGTCTCTCTAGGACCTTCCGTCTCCTCGTGGAGGCTTCAAAGAGCGCGGGACGCAGCAGTGCTGACTTGGGATGTGGAGCGAGGGGCCCTCGTCAGCGGCTTTGAGATCCAAGCACGGCCAGCGGGGCCTGGCCCGGGCAGAACTCCTGCCTACAGGGGCTGGGTCTCCCTGCTCATCCTGGGGCCTCGGGAGCGGTCGGCTGTGGTGCCTCTTCGAGCGCGGGACCCTGGGTCCTGGGCCTTGCGGATCCTGCCCACGCTGGGTGGCCAGCCGGGGACTCCGTCGCAAAGCCGCGTCTACCGTGCTGGTGAGCTGGGGCTGTCAGCACCTCCTCTGGGTTCCGTCCTGGCAGTCTGCGCAGCCTTTCCCAGACCGCTGTGTTGGGTCCCCCTTCTCTCCCTGCCTGTTTTTTTTTAGAGACGGGGTCTCGCTCTTGCTCAGGCTGGTCCCAAACTCCTGAGCTCAAGTGATCCTCCTGGCTCAGCCTCCCAGAGCTAGGATTACAGGCGTGAGCCACCGCCCGGCCCTCTCCCTGTCTTAATGTCCTAGGGCTGCCATAACAAAGTACCATGATCCGGGTAGCTTGAAACAACAGAAATCGATTCTCTCACAGCCCTGGAGTCCAGAAGTCTGGAACCAAGGTGTCCCCAGGGTCTCGTTGCCTCTGAGACTCTGGGTTGAATCGATCCTCGCCTCTTCCTAGCTTCCGGCGGTAGCTGTCCCCTCTTGGCATTCCTTGGCTTGCAGCTGCCATGGCTCCAGTGTCTGCCTCCAGTTCCCCATGGCCTTCTCCTCGTGTGTGTCTGTCCTCTTCTAGTAAGGACATCAGTTAAACTGGATCAGAGCCCAGCCTGATGGCCTCATCTTGACTTGGCTACATCTGCAAAGACCCTATTCCAAAATAAGATCACATTCACAAGTAGGACTCCAGTGTATTTCTGGGGGGAACATAGTTCAATCGATAACAGTCCTCAACTGGAGCATCTGAGGATTGAATCCTCAGATCTGTATTGGTCCCCATAATGAACCTGCACACTCTCATGGCTTTCAATAGCGTTAATACTCTGCAACTCCCAAATGTCTTATTCCCAGCCCTGACCTCTCTTGAAAAGGACACTCCTTATATGACATCTTCACTTTGGATGTCCACTTGGCATCTCAAATGTCCCATGTTTAAAATAGACCTTTTGGGCTGGGCGAGGTGGCTCAAACCTGTAATCCTAGCACTCTGGGAGGCCGAGGCAGGCGGATTGCTTGACGTCAGGAGTTTGAAACCAGCCTGAGCGAGACCCTGTCTCTACTAAAAATAGAAAGAAATTAATTGACCAACTAAAAAAAATATATATATATATATGATTAGCCGTGCATGGTGGTGCATGCCTGTAGTCCCAACTACATGGGAGGCTAAGGCAGGAGGATCGCTTGAGCCCAGGAGATTAAGGTTGCTGTGAGCTAGGCTGACGCCACGGCACTCACTCTAGCCTGGGCAACAAAGTGAGACTCTGTCTCAAAAAATAAAAATACAAATAAAAAATAAATAAAATAAAATAGACCTCTTGATGGTTTTTCCCCAAAACTGCATCCCCCAACCATCCAGTCTTCCCCATCCAAATGAATGGCATGCTTAACCCTCAACATCCCAGCTGCCAGCAAGTTTGGTCAATTTTCCTTCCAAAATGTTTTTCTAATACATTTGCTTCTTTCCATCTTTGCTCCAAGGCCCTGGTCAAACACACGTCCTCTCTTGCCTGGACTGCAGCAGCTGTTTATCTGGTCCCTTTATACTCCCTCTTGCTTGCCGACAATCCATTCTCCATTATGACGCTGCCCTAGCTAAAAGCATTCTGTTAATCTCTACAAGAACTCCCAGGACCTGGCCCCGGGGAATGCCTCCTGCTTCTCTCCCCTCATTCCACGTCCTCCACCCACAGTGGCCTTCACTGAACACAGGAAACTCTTTCCTACCTCTGGACCTTTGCATGTTCTGTTCCCGTCACTTGGAACACCCTTCCCCCAGGTTTAGCATGACTGGCTCCCTATTCTTCAAGTCTCTACTCAAATGTTACTTCCTCAGGTATTTTAACTAGACACCCTTCTCTAAAAGTCTCCTCTCCTCTCCCATTATTTTTTATCATAGCACCTGTTTTTCCTTCTTTGCACAATCTGTAAATATGTTATTTATTGCCCATTTATTTGTGACTTTCCTCCTAGACTTAATCCACACAAGGGGAGGTACCTTGGTTATTTTGCCCACCAGTGAGGCCTCACCACTCGGCCGACTGCCAGGCACACCGCAGTCACTCAGAAAATGTTCAGTGAATGGAGCGTGCTAGCGTCCCACGTTCCCGGGGTCTGAGAGGGTAGGGGCAGGAACCTGGGCTCCTGGTTCCCCGCGGAAAGGATGAGTCAGGGGCTTAGGAAACGTGGGTCCAGCCCTGGCTCCTGCTCCCCTCTCTTTTTCTCCTCCAGGCCCCGCCCTGGGCCCGGGCGCCATCGCTGGCATCGTCCTGGGCTCCCTGCTGGGCCTGGCGCTGCTGGCCGCGCTCCTCCTCCTGTGCGTCTGCTGCCTGTGCCGCTTTCGGGGTGAGTGAGGTCCCTAGAAAGAAGCCCATAGGAGACCTGGTGAGCCAATCAACGCAGTCACAGGCCAAACTTCCCGCCTTCCTACCTCCAAAGCAGCCTATCGGAGCAAGACTCCACCACTCGGGCCAGTTCCCCTTGCCATTGGCTGGGTCGGTGTTGGAGCAGCCAATCACACGTTCCTGTTTCTCTTCCTTCTCTCTCTTCCCCAGGAAAGACTCCTAAGAAGACGAAGCATCCCCCCACTTTGGCCCCCAGGGTCGCCCCACCAGAAAAGGAACAGCAGAGTGTGACCCCAGGGCAGACCTGCTGGCCTCTGGGCCTCCCAGTCCCGCTGGAGGACCCTGGCCCAGCCCCGGCCAGCCGAGGGCGCGTGAGTGGCCTCGAGGCGGGCCCTCGTCTTACAGTCAGCGGGAGGGGGGCCTCCGCTCTCCCCTCCGGTTTTGGTGGCCAGTTTACAAAGTCGGTACAACCTTATTCTTTTTCTAAATAATAAGTTAGGTAGGACTTTTCGCCCAACTTTCATGTATATTAAAAGAGGAGCCAATTCCAGTTTCTCCTCCAAAGGAGGTGAGATGGGGCCTACTTTTTTCTTTTCCATAAAAATTGAACGAGACTTACATTTCCTCTCCGAGGTGGGATAGAATTTGCTCGATCCCCCATAAAAGTTGGGTTGTTGCATGACTTAGCTTCCCCAGGGGGGGCAGACTTCCCCGCCCCGCGCCCTCCCTGCAAACGGAGGGAACCCAGGTAATTTCTAACAGGTTCGAGAAGAGCTGGAAAGGGTCAGGCGGGGGAGTCGCGCCACTCCCAGGGTCCCTCCTGAGCTGCCTACCGCCCGCCTCTCTTCCAGGCCGCGGGCCCCAGCCCCGCCGTCTCTTCGGCTGTGGGCACGAAAGCTGTTCGGGCAGCCACGCAGGTGTGACCGGAGCGGGGTCCGACCCCGACGCGGCGTTGTAGGGCAGAGCTTCCTGTTTTGCCCCAGCAGAAGGCCAGGCCCGCTGCGACTGAGGGCTGGACCCTGCAAATGGCACTTCCTGTCTCCCTGCGTGCCGCTGGAGACTTCCCCGCGTCTGCGCGACTGAGGAGAGGCGACTTGGGCGCGGGAGCCCCTGCCGGTCTCACGGTGTGGCCGGCGCGGCCGAGGTTGCGCGGCTCCGAGCCGGACAGGGGCCTGGCCACGTTCTCTGCGAAGGTCCCCCACGTCCGCTTTGCCTCCTCCAGGCCACTCCGCATCCAGCTCCCAGCTTCTCCACCTCAAAACGGACCCTCTTCCCTTTAAACCCTTCCGGCTGTGCATTGCCCTTCGCATACCGAGCCAACTCGCTGTGACCTTCTAAGCCTTGTGGTCTGCCCCCTGCCAGCCTCCAGACCGCCGGCCAGACTGTCCCTGCGCCCGGCGCCAGCGCGGCCGTCTCTCGGCCACACTTCACTTCGCCTCCAGGCGTCTGTCCCTCGAGTTTTATCTGCTTGGAACACTTCGTGTTCCCCATGTTGTTCCCCAAGTCTAAGGGTGACTGTGGCCATCACGGAAGACATTCCCTCACCCTTCCCATGGTCGTGGGTTGAGGCCCAGAGTCCCTGAACTTGCCCCTCTCACACATGAACACGTGGTTATCCGCGCAGCCTCAGACTCCCTCTAGAGCGAGCAGAGACCCGCCCTTCTCTCCGCGCTGAGCACAGCCTGGCACACAGCAGGCAATCAATAAATGTGTGTTGACCAATCCGATGTCTTGGTGCCACTGAAGGGTTGGGCTTGCTGAGGCTCTCCCCAGCATAAGCCTTTCTTTCCAACTGGTCCCCTGAGAATTTGGGGAGTGCATCCGTGAGGGTTCTTTTGGCTGCAACTAACAAAACAAATGTTGGCAAGAAAAATGGAGGTGGGTGGTTTCAGGCTGGCTCAGCAACTCAGGCACCACCTCAAGGACGTGGGTCCATGTTCATCCTTCTGTTTTGCCACCATCAGTGGGGTGGCATGCTGTCTCCCTGTGTATAGCCTCATGTAGCAAAACAACTGCTGCAGCTCCTGTCATCACCTCTTCATACAACTATATCCAATGATAAAAGAAAGGGAGCAGGTCTCCCTTCCCACACACCTCCCTCCATCCTTTCCTCCCTCATGAGTGGGGTGGATGGGAGGAAACCTTCCTGGAAGCCTACCAGCAAACTTCCTTTTATATCTTTTTGGCCAAAACTAGCCACATAGCTGCAAAGGAGGCAGGGAAAGCAAATATCTCGGCCTGTATCATGGCAAGTGGGTCTGCCAGCAAAGAAGAAAGGGAAAGCAAAGAACCAAAGTGTAGGCAACCAGTATCTGTCTCAGGAAGAAAAGGATATGAGGACTTCTGGTTAATGGTTGGGGTAGAAAAGGCCATGCAAGCCTTTTGGGAAGGTGAGGGTTGGATCCTTTTGGGAAGGTGAGGGTTGGGATGTTGGGTGCCTGCCTGGGCCATGTATATGTTAGGGGTTTCATTCCTTCTTGCTCACTAGAGGGAGAAAACCTAATGAAAATTGGCTTAGGTATACAGGGGACCTTATTGCTTATATAAATGAAGGTGGGCATCAGGTAAGTTTTGATCCAGCTGCTCAAATGATGTGATCATGGGCTCTATTTCTCTAGACCTCCCACTCTGCACTCCGCAATTCTCAGGCTCCACATGTTGTCTTCCCCACCACTGCTATCCCGTAGACCCAAGATCTCTCCCTGAGATGGAGAAGAGCAACCCTACAGACTAGACCTCAGATCATTAAGCCACATTATCCAGTGGAAGAGCATCCCTTCCCGTGAACCCATACACTGTCCAATTACCCTAGTGGGTCACGTGCCCATCTCTGAACTGATCACAGTGGGAAATGAGCTATGCTTAGTGGCTTAAGCCAATCAGGGGCCACTTCTGAACCAGGTCAATTCCAAATCTGCCAGAGAAAGTAGAGGGTAGAAGTGATCACCACAAATGACCCTTTGCACTCGAAATCCCTCATGACACTGACAGCTGCAGGCAGAGACTCTGGAAAAAGGCGTTTATTGGTGTGGTGGTCTCAACACTCCCCATGAATTGGAACACACGGCCCCCAGGGCCCCCCACCCCCTCCCTTGCATCCCTCCCCTACCCCACCCTGTCCCCTGGACCCTGGGAATGGAAGACAATGTGGGATGGGGCCCATGCCCCCGTCTGAGGTACAGTCACTGCCCCTTGCCCTCTGCCCCGCTCTGCCCTCTTCTCCACCGAGCTCTGGGTGGTGTGGTTTGGGGTGGGTGCTTATAGAGAGGGTCTCCTGGGAGTCGGAGCTGGTGACATGGCATCTTAGTCTGGGCTCAGCATGTCTGTGTGACGCCTCTCTCTGCCCTGATTTGCCTGGCGCAGTGTGCCAGGGTGGCGCATTCCTACAGTCAGAGCCGAGGCTACAGCCTCTCAGCGTCCCTTCCTGACAACAGTCGCCCACCCTGGGGGGAACTACAGCTAGTCACCAGCCACAGGACAGCTGGAGCCAGGGGGCTATTGCTGGTCACAGTCGCTGGTGTGTGTGTGTGAGTGTGTGTGAGGGCGGCCAGGCGGCCTTTGGGAGGGACAGTGGCAGAGAGGCTGGGGAGTGGCAGAACAGCGAGCCACACCTGTGGGCCAGCTGCAGGGGCCGGGGCAGCTGGTTGATGCCACAGGTGGCCAAGGGGAGTGGCAGCGGGGGTAGGGCAAAGCACTGAGAGACTGGCGACTACTGCCACCAGCCTGACAGTTGGATGGAAGCACCGATTGGCCCAGGAGAGGGCCAGAAAGTCCCGGGCGGGGAGGGACGGGGGGAGTGGGAAGGTCTCAGGCCACTGAGCCAGCGATGGGGCCTCTGGCTACAGGCAGCTGGTAGTTGACAGCAGGGAGGCCCGGAGCCCAGATGGACGTCCCCTCTTATTCACAAAGGCTGAAGGACAGCCTGACAGGTGAGCGCGCACCCTGCTCCCGACTTGCCCAGGAGACGCCCTGGCGACAGGGAGGGCGGCCGTCTAGCTCCCTCGCGGAGCCGGTACCCACCTCCGGCCAGAGGGGAGGGGCCGCGGGGAGGGGACAGTGGACATGGGGGCGCCAGGGCAGGAGGACGCCGAGTCTCCTCCCCAGCCCACCCACACACACGCGTACACATGCAGGCGCACTCACACGCACACGCACACCCACACGAGCCCGTCGACAGCCTGAGCGAAGAGAGGGGTATGGGGTGGTGGGGGCGGGTCACAATCGGCAACGTGAACGGGTGGCGACGATGGCTGTAGAAAGATGCATAATTTTGCGTTATCCCTCACAGTGATGGGTTCTCTAAAGATCTTTCCTCCTCCTCTTCCTCTCCTCTTCCTTGGTGGCCGAGAGCTCTTCCGCCGCTCGAGACCCAGGCTCGGCTCCCCCTTCCTCTTGCTCTTGGCCCGAGGCCCCTGCAGGGGGAGGCGGCTCCCGTCGCGCCTACATCCTCCACCACAGCCAGCCCAGGGCGGAGAGGAGGGCCAGGGGCCCCGGGGGCCTGGGGGCCGCGTTCTCCAGGGATCCTGGGCCTGGGGGGAGAGAAAGGTTATAGGGGCGTCTGGGTGGTGACACCCCACGTGTCTCTCCCTGACACCCTGCCTGTCTTGAGCCTACTTCTTTAGGGGCCCTTCTGGGTCCATCGTGGGCTGTGCCCGCTTTTCCGACCCTGCCGGAGTCTGAGCACCCTCTCACGCCTTCTCCGCTTCCTTCTCGCTGTCTTAGCCGGGGGCGCTCGCCCGGCGTCGGTCTCTCTCCCGGTCTCGGCTACAGCTGCTCTCTGGACTCCCCTCCCCGCCCGCCACCGTCACTGCAGCACTACGCCCCACGCACCCAGCGGCCCGAGCCCACACCTCGCAGTCTCCTCTGACTCAACGTCCCTCTCCCTCGCCCTTGCAGTCCAGTCCAGTGACTCAACCCTCCGGGCTCCACCCCAAGGCACCTCCAGCACCGCCTGCATGCCATCCACGGGCGCTCCGGCCTGCGTTGCCGCCGCAGCCGCCTCCCTGGTCTCCCCGCCTCCACCCGGCCCCTCCCCGCCCCCAAACAGCAAAGTGACTGTTTAGAAGCATCAACATGCCCTTCCGCCTGAGCAACGCCGGCGGCCTCGCCCCACGGCGGAACAAACTCCAGACTCCTCGCCGTGGCCGCGAGGGCCTCCCTGCGCGCGGCGCCCCCCGCCTGCGAAGCGCCTCCCCAAGATCTTGGCAGCGCTGCCGTCCCCGCGCGGGTCTCAGTGTAGACGGAACCCTCCGGGAAGCCTCTCCGGTGAGCCGCTCTAACAGCCCCGCCCCGTCCTGCCTACTGTCGGCTTTCTCCCAGCCCTCGTCGACTCGGGGCCACTTTCTGTCCGTGTACGCGTTTGCTTATTTGTCTAGGCGTCCTCTGGCCTATCGCTTTCTCACTGCGGCTAGACCGCAAGCTCGGCGAGTGCCCGAACCGTGCTGCTTTTGTGCGCTGTCGCGTCGCCCGCGCCCAACGCCCCTGGCCTTCGCGGCGCTCGGTCGCCGGGCTTTGGAGTCTCCGCTTCTGACTCTTCCGCGAGCTCGGGTAGGTGGGGTGGGGGCAGGGGCGATCCCCGAGTCTCCGCCTCCCCAAGCCCCGCCCTGCCGCCCCCCGCCCCTCAGCCCCGCCGCCCCCTGCCCCCCCGCCGCCCACCTCCGCCACTCAGCCCCGCCGACCCCCGACCCCCGCCCCCAGCCCCCCAGCCCCGCCGCCGCGCGCAGACGCACGCAGGAGCCGCATGGAGGCGCTGGACGCTCCGAGCCGGTTGGCCGCGCGACACGTGTAGTTGCCGTAGTGCCGGGCGCTCACGTTGGCGAAGAGAAGCATCGAGCGGGTGCGCTCCGTCTGCACCTTCAGGCCCTCGGCCGCGCCGCTGCTCAGCCTGCGGGGATCTGGGTCAGCGCCGGCCGCGGAGGCGGGCCCGGGACCCCGCCGGACGCACGGCCCAGTCTCGCCCCCCTCAGGCTCCTGCCTTCCCCGGAGACCCAGCATTCGGCCCCAGCCCAGCGACCCCTCGCCTCTGTGCTAGCCCCTCGGGGCACCCTGGCCCTCGGGGACACTGGCCTCTTCCGGCGCGCGCTTAATGGCTAGGAGCTCCCCTGCGCTGCCGGGCCCCAGCCACGACGGTCTCCTGCAGCTTGCCCGCCAGGCCCTCAGCACCCACCCCCACCCGGAGACCCCTGGAGAGCCGCGAGACCCGGCTCCGGCATCGCAATCCCGGCACCCAAGCCTCGCTCCCTGGGGCCAGTGCTAGGAGCTAGATCGCCCTGCCTTCCGCACCCAGGGCTGGCTCGCTTCCGCTAGGGTCACCCCGCCCCGCAATCCGAGGGACCACGGACCTCCCTCTGGCCCCTCCCCGCGGCCCGCCCGCCCGGTGCCGTCCTCACAGTCTGTCATCCTTGTACCACTGGAAATCCGCCGGCGGCACCGCCATGGCTTCGCAGCGCAGGAGGGCGGCCCGGCCCAGGGCGGTGCGGGCGCTGGTCACGTCCGTGATGGTCGGCGGGTCTGCCGAGGGGGGAGGGTCAGCGAATTCTCCAAGCCACGCGGGGACTAGGGGGCCCGCCCCTGCCCCAGGCCCGGGAGTCCTGCTTCCTCCTCCTTCAGACCCCTCCTCCCTAGGGACCCCGTCCGCTGCCCTTTCGTGCCCCGTGCCAGGGGGGCTCACAGTTGACTGTGACCAGCACGCGGCGGCTGTCGGGCGCGGAGTTCACTCCGTTGTGAGTCACGCACTCGTACTCCCCGGCCTGGCCCCGCTGGATGTCGGAAATCTCGAGGATCTCGCCCTCCGAGGTGAAGCCGTCTGTCGGGGAGGGGGGAGGAGGGGGCGGGGCCAGACACAAACACTTAACACGGGACAACACGGGCACAACACGGACACACATCAGCGGGGCGGGCACAGCAGGGCCTGGAGTGCCCCGGGTCCATAGGAGTGCGGGGTGCGGGATGTGGGGTGCGGGGCCTGGGATCTCTCCAGCTAAGGAGGGGGAGGGGAGGGTCTGGGGCTTAGTAACTGGAACCCAGGGAGGAGGGTCCTAGAATGTGGGGGTTCAGGAGATCCAGGGATCTGGGTCTTGTGACCCAGATCATGGGGCTCAGGGGACCCCGTGGAGAGGAGGACCCTAGGGTCTGGGGTCTCAAAAGGGCACAGCAAATACAGACCCCGCGAGGAAGGGCCGGAGTTCAGGGACCTACTCATGGGGTCTGGGGATTGGGATCCGCAAATCTGGGGAGACCCTCTGGGACTTGGGGCATCCAGGCTCCCGGGATCTGAGAGCTAGTCATTGGGTTCTGGGGTCTCAGAGGATCCAGGGGACAGATCTAGCGACTGGCACCATGGGGTCTCCCAAGACCCAGCGAGGGAGGATCCAGGGGTGGGGACCTGGTGGTGCAGGCCGAGGTAAAGGGCGGCGGGTGAAGTCCAGGACCCAGACCGTCACTCTCGCTCGCCCTGGAGCTGTGTCTGGGGGTGGCCTTCAGCAGTGGTTCTGGAGCCTGTTCAGACCGATTGTGGGGGGGCTTCTGCTTCAGCAGGTCTGGGCTGGGGCTCAGAACGCGTGTTTCTGGCAAGTTCGCAGGGGAAGCTGGCGCTGCTGGTCGGGCCGGCACCGTGAGGCCGGCTGGGCCGGCACCCAGCAGAAGGGAGTAGGGATGTGGCCAGGGAAAGCACAGGGTCAGCCTGGCTCGGGGCACCTGGTGGGAGGGATCCGAGGGCAGGAGGATCCTGTGTGCGCACGCAGGGACCAGGGGTGCCGGGCGGGGGGGGGCAAGCTGGGGCTTGGTGGGGGTTGGGAGCCGAGCCCCAGGGCGGGGGGCCGCACGTGGGAAGCCCGTGGTGGAGTCTGGTGAGGAAATTCCTGGGAGCAGGGTGGGAGGGCGACATCAAGTGCCCAGAAGGGTTGAGGGATCGGAAGTTATGGGAAGGGGGTCTGGGAAAGTGGGCTGGGATATGGGGATGGAGGGGACACACCGTCGAGCCGGAGAAGGGGCTTCCAGCCTGAGGTGGGGTTCTCACCTCGGAGCTGCCTCCAGGTGACCGTGGGCTCCGGCCGCCCCACGGCCAGGCAAAGCAGGTTCACATTGCCCCCCTCATTCACTGTCACAGGCGAGGAGATGTTCACAATGCGGGCAGGGACTGCAGGCGGGGACAGGGCAGGGAGAGCTGGACGTGGACTCTGAGGACCCGGGCCTCCTCCCTCAGACCATACCGCCCAGGTGGCAGCACGCCTGGGCCCAGCCCCAGCGCCGCCCCGGCCAAGGGCCTGAGCAGGCAGAGAGGCCTCCGGCCTCGCCCGCAAGAACGGCGCAGTCAGCCACCAAACCCAAGACATCACCTTCACTTCATGCCCTGCTACAAAAGGGAAAAACAGCTCTGCTAATTAAACCTTGGCGCCTGGCACCCTACACTGAAGAGCCATCGTGATGGGAGAAATGTTCACACGTGAGAAAGAGAGGGAAGAAAAGCATAGACGTGTCTTAGAATTGGTGAAATATAGTAAACATCTCCCCAGAGGCTGACAGTGAGGGTGTAACTGGTGGATCTGGGTAAAGCACTTAAAACAGAATCTACCACGCAGGAAGTACCATATAGGTATTTGCTAAAGAAATTAATCGAACGTAACAATAATACACATAGAGGCAGGGAGAGGGGAATTCAGGCCAGAAGACAGAAGAACTAAGTCAGGACGAAGGCGGAGAGAGACACGGACACAGAGAAAGCCCAGCATCAGACGAGGCGCTGGGCCCAGACAGACACTGCGGACAAA